TAAATAATAATAAATAAATTCTATTCACATTATACTTACTCCTGAAATTGACCAATTGATGAAAAGGTTCGGCCTTTTAAATGTTTACCTGTTCGAATGAAAATAAAAAAAAAAAAAGAGTGATAAAAACCATTAGTTTTCCTATTTAAACATTTATAACATTCGGTTTATATCGTATGTTGTAGGAAAAAAAAATTAGATAGCATATAAAAGAATGGAGAAAATCAAGATAACATTTTCCTTAAGATATATTAACTGATTAAATATTTAATTGTTTTAATATTTAATATAGTTTAATGTCTGAAATTATTTGTTAGCGAACAAACCTCGGTTTAAATTTAATATATAAACATTTTAAACTGTCCCTATACTGGTACTAATGTTTACAATCGCTTGATATATAATAAAACTTGTGATAGTGATAGTGAATATTTAAACTTTTACTGATCCAAGGTATAACCATTGTTATTCAGAATATCAAATAGATAGTGATAGCGATAATTTTTTTTTTATCTGTGGAAATATTATTTATCACGACAATGCTTTGAAAACTTTATTTTGCATGATTCTGTGATTATTTTTTTTTAATATCTCATTTAAACAATATTATAACTCATTTTATTAACCACTTTCGTTTTCCTTAGAATGAAATTTAACTGCGCAGTATCCCTGAGAATCTTTTATATGGTCATACAGATTAGAGTAATAATATATATATATATAAGAATAATAATAAAAATAAACCTCTGAATATTGTTACTATTTAAAATTTTTTAACTCCTTTTTTCGGTAAAATTACGCGTCTAATCTAAATTAGTATCATTGATTGTCAAATTAAATATAAATTGGAGTGCATATTCGATATTTAACATAAGATTAATACGTATGCTTATCATGTAATATTTCTTAATACATAGTATCGTTATTCTTTCGTATGAATAATGCTTTTGGGTACGTATCAGGGTGAATTTTATAAAGAGATTAAATGCATTTAAGAATTTTTATGAAAAATCGAGTGATTTTAATTACGGTAAAATGTAATTTTTTTGTACGAATAAGCAGTTGTCTAGACTATATAATAGTGATCCAGTGTTTTATAATGATAAGATTGAAAATTGTGAATGAGAAGAAAAGTAAATTGAAATGTTGAAATACATTGGTTCTGCTTTGCTTCATCGGTAATTCCCGATAGGTCATTTAGCTGATATCTTAACGCGCGACAACTTAATAAATAGTACTTATTCCCCGGTTCCTATTTATACTTCTATACTATTTTTTCTCACTTATTGCCCAGGTCTCAGATTCGGGCTGATCCGGAGGTTTTATAATTTTATATATATATATATATATTACTTTTTTAATAACTTTTTTTTACGAAAAGTAAAAGTTGCTGGCTTAAGAAAAAAGGAAAAAAGTGAAAGAAAACGAAAGAAATCTTGTAATTATAATAAAGCTAAATTTTATGAAATACGTGACTTTAATTTGAAAAAATAGTTCATAGGAAGACTTTCGTATGATTGACTGTTTAAATCAATTTAATTTTACATTATTTATACAGTTTAAAGTACTTTTTAAAAAAAATAAAACTACGAAGAATAAACAAAAAAGAAGTATATAGAAAGTTTTATTAAGGTTGTAGGACTCCAGTATTAAAAATAATCAAAATCATTTTTGGTTTTAGAGAAGTTAGCATGGTAATAACCTGTATCAATATACGTAATTTTGTGCTGCATTTTTTGCTTATACACTTTTAACTAACCAATGTTTGCGTTGCTTTTTGCTGATCAACTATTTACGTAAATTTACAATGGAACATGTAAAAAAATATATAAGTGCGTATCTGATATCGATGGATTGTCTCGCGGGCATCTTCCTTTAATACTTCACACACTCCCTAATGAAATCGTGTATGGTATCGGTGCTGAACAAATCTAAAGTTACAATATAAGATCGGCTACCCAGACCAGCACAGTAGTGGCTCTTCACAAAAAAATAAAATATAAAGTAAATAAAAATAATAAATAAAATTTTGAAAAACTATTAAATTGTTCAGGGAAGAGATCTAAAAATGACTCGTGGACAGGTGAATCCAGAAATAACTATAAGAAGAAACGGAGTCCCAAATTATATCAAATTTATAAAAAACTCCTACCCTTTTGAAGAAGCCTTTCCTGTTCAAGAGAATTATTTGAGAGAGTATCTTGACTACCTTGCTCAAAAAGTTGAAGCGGGCGAACTACAGGCTAGGAATGCGAAACTATACATAACAAATATTAAGGCGCATAATAGAGCTCTTCGCTTTAGTTGGACTTTTGATGCTATTACAAAAGAAGCTTTGGATTCGCTAGAACGGGGATCCACAACCGTTGCTAATTTGGGTCACTCCTCACTCAATTCTTCATCTATTATTAATTTCCCAGATGTCACAACCGATATTAATATTGATTATGTTAATCAAATTAATGTCTCACCAAATAACGATAATAACTTTACTTATATGAGTCCTTATGACGCACGTCTCTTTCTCCCATCTGGAATTAACGCTCCGCGTATCGTTCCTTTTCCCACCGGCGTTGACTCTTACGCCCGACCAACGCATTTACGATCTGACCAATTTAATACACATGTTAACATTTCTTATAATCCGGATGCCCGTTCCTCTTTATTATCTGACACTGCTAATTCTTTCTCCAACCAGTTGTCTAATCCTTATATCAGTGCGCAAGAATTAGCAAATCAAATTTTCGATGTGCAAGAACAAGTTTCTGATGTACAAAGAAAAATTAATTATTTACTTAATTTAATCGCATATGCCTCATAAAATGCGATAGAAGAGCCACAATTCATTTAGTCATTCATTTATTTATTCATTCATCATGTATTTGCATTATATTTTTAACTATCCCATACCCTAACCCGAGAACTTAAGATGTGTGATGAGGTCTTACAAGGCCCTCAATGTCGGGAGGTTGGTGAAAAAGGATTAAATAATGTCGCCACTTGTTGTCCTGAGGTGATCATGCCAATAGGGTTAAACCAAAAAAAAAAGAAAAAAAAATTTTTTTATTTGATGGTTTAGAAACAAAAAGTATTTATAGGATTAGAAACAAAAAGTATTTATATATTTATGATTCCTCTGTATTTCATATTTCGCTTCATCTCATGTTTCGCTTCATCTGTCATTTCATATTTCGCTTCATCTGTCGTTTCATATTTCGGTTCATCTGGCATTTTACATTTCGTTTCACATTTCGTTTCACATTTCGTTTCACATTTCGCATCACATTTCGTTTCACATTTCGCATCGCATTTCGTTTCTCATTTCGCTTCGAATTTCGTTTCACATTTCGCTTCATAAAATAAAAAAAATAATAATAAAAT